CCACCCCATGACTGGGTCCCTCTGGAGTTTTTATCTCTCAGACTTTTGCACACTGAGCCTCCAGCAATTGTCAATTACAGTTCAAGTTTTCCTACCCCGGTATTGGTTTCTATGGATGTTTCTGCGCCAGTAGGTTCCGATTCTCTGTATCTGCCTGTCTGTCTCTCCAATTTTTGGAGCAGCAGTTTGTCCTGTGGTCTCACTTCTCTGATGGATCTAAGAAGAGCTGATCTTTCAACTCGTTCATCTTTTTACTTGTTGTTACGGTGGAGTGGTAACTTCTAAGTGCCTTACATTGCAAAGTTGATTTATTATCCAAAAATCAATTTGGGTGAAATAATATGTTAATAGAAAAAAGGACAAAAGCCATGTGATTATCTCAGTAGACCTAAAATGTTTTTTTAAAATATCCAACATGCATTCTTGATAAAAGTTCTCAACAAGTTAGGAATAGTTGAAAATTTCCTTACCCTGATAAAGAGCTACAGCTAACAACATGCTTAATATTAAAAGCTTGAATGCTTTTTCTCCTTAAGATTTAAAAGAATATCTGCTCTTGCCTCTTTTATTCAACACTGCTCTGGAGATTCTACTCTTTAACTTCTTATTCTTGCAATAAGGCAAGAATAAGAAATTAAAGGCATACAGATTGTAAGGTAAGAAGTAAAATTATTTTTATTCACAGATAATCTGATTTGTATGTAGGGAATATCTGTCAAAAAGCTACTAGAAGTACTAAACAAGTTTAGGAAGGTCACAAGTTACAAGATCAGTATCTAAAAATCAACTATTACTTTCCTATTTATTGGCAATTCACAATCCAAAATTAAAATTAAGACAATAATATTGTTTAGTATGGAATCAAACAGAATAAAATACTTAGGCATAAATTTAACAAAAGGGAGAAAAAACTGTATGCTGAAAACCGTAAGACGTTGCTGAGAGAAAGTAATGAAAGCTAAGTAAGCGGAAAGATAAACTATGGTCATGGATTTGAAGATCTGTTTAGTTAAAATGGCAATTCTCTTCTCAAATTGATCTATAGATTCAACATAATCCCTGTCAAATTCCCAGCAGGCTTTTAAATATAAATCGACAAGTCAATCCTAAAATTTAAATGGAAATTCAAAGTACCTACAATAAACAGAACAATTTTGAAAAGACAATGTTGAAGGATTTGTGCTACCTGATTTTCAAAGCTTACTGTGAAGCTACAGTAATCAAGACAGTGTGGTATTAGCATTAGACCATAGATCAGTGGAACAGAACAGAGTCCAGAAATAAACCCATACATGGTCTGATTTCTGATTTTTGACAGACTTGCAAGGTAACTCAGTGGAGTTAGAGAGCCTATTCAACAAATGGTGCTGGAGCAATTGGGTGTCTCTACGCAAAACAAAAGCAAAAACATAAAACCCCTGGACCCTTACTTCATACCATAACACAAAGTTCTACTCAAAATGGATCATAGATCTAAATGTAAGAGCTGAAATTATCATGTAACTAGAAATAAACGGGAGAAAATATTTGTGACTTTGAATTTCTTAGATAGGACACAAAAAATATGAACACCAAAAGATAAATTAAAATGTTTGCTTTTCAAAAGATAGCACTGAGAAACTGAAAAGACAAAGACAAGTTAAAGGAATTGCAGAAAATATTTGCAAATTATTTATCTGATAAAGGACTTGTGTTCAGAATATGAAAAAAACCTCTTACAGTAAATAGTCTGAAAGCACACAACACAATTAAAAAATGGGTAAAATTTTGAATAGAACCTTCAAAAAAGATCTATGAATAGCAAATAAGCACAAGAAAAGGTGTTCAACATTGTTAGTCCTTAGGAAAATGCAGACTAAAATCCCATTGAGAATATACTACACACCTCTAAAATATATGTAATCAAAAAAGATTGAGAATACTGTTCCTGAGGTTGCATAGAAACCAGAACTCTCATGTGTTGCTGATGGAAGTGGAAAATGATACACTCCCCTTTGAAAAATTGCCTGGCACTTTCCTAAAAAGTTGAACTTATATTTACCAAATGACCAAGAAATTTATTTTCCAGGTATCTGCCCAAGAGAAATGAAAAGACTTGTATCCAAATGTTTGTTAGGCTCAATATCTCCAAATATTTGGAAGCAATCCAAATGTCCATCAACTGGGGAATAGATCAACAAAATGTGGTATATCTATACAGTGGAGTGCCATTCAGCAATAAAAAGGAGTGAACTACTTATACATGTAACAACATGGATAAATGTCAAAAATATGCTAAGTGGAAGAAGTCACACAAAAGAATATATACTGTGTGATTGCATTTGTATGAAATTGCTAGAACAGGCAAAACTGTAGAGACAGCAGGTTTCCTGGGGCTGGGTTTGGGAGCAGGAATTGACGGCAAATGGACACAAGGGATTTTGGGGGTGATGAAAGTGTTCTGAAGCTTGAGTGTGTTGATGGTTACACAACTGTGTAAATTTACTAAAACTGACTTCATCTGTATACTCCAAATGGGTAAATTTTATGCTATTGTAAACTATACTTTAAAACGTGGTTAAAGAAGGAGAAATCTCTAAAGAGGAAGTTGTATCAGATGTTAATAGCTTGGAAGGTATCTTTCTTAAAAGATTGTTTCTCGTTTTTTCCTTTAAAGTGAATAGGGTTTAAATTTTTAAATTGTTTGCTTTTTGAACAGGCTACTTCCTGGTGGCTCTCTGGAGGGATTATTCCCTAGAGCAGATGTACATTACACAGCTCAGGCTGAGTCTCTTCCTCAATGGAGACAGTTGCCAACAAAGAGTGAGACTCAGCTGGAGAGGGCTGAGTGAGGCTTCTGGGGTAGGTGCCCCTCAGGTTTTGCTCTAATTACTCCAGCTGAGCATACAAGAAGAAAGGCAAAGCCACAGGGAGGCATATTAATTAAAATGTCTCCTATTTCAGTGGGCCATTGTGATTCTCTTAACTTTTAGGAGGTTACAGTTGTAGGTTTACAGTTTGTTATTTCCTTCCATGTCCAGCATAATTGCATGATGAAAGAATCCCACATTTTAATATTCAGAAACAGTCACTTGGGTAGGTTAATAAGAAGGAATAGCTAATTACCAATTAGGGTCAGATAAGAAAAAGGATCTACTTTTAAAATGAGACTATTGGGAACTATCTTGAAGGGGGACTTTGACTATAGATTTCCTTCTGGTGTAGCTTACTTGGACATAGCAGGAAAGGTCTTGGTCCCCGAGCTTTTGGTGTCCAATTGCCTGTTACTGCATAGGAGGTATAATTAGAGATGTGAAAGAGCCCCTCTCACTGGTTTTATTTCCACTGCTTGTTTAGACCTTTGCTTCCAATTAATTAAAGAACAGGAGAAACATGCCTTTTAGGGAAAATAAAGAAAATTTTGCTTTGATCTTATCTGCTGCAATTATTGAATACATTTTCCCTTTGACCAGTGCCCCTCTCTCTCTCCCCACACAAGAAAGCCTAAAACAAACAGAAAGAAACCATTAACTTAAACTGGTTGTTATTCAGAAGTGTTTTTGATTTGATGCTTTAATTTTAAGATTACTCTGTTAATTGTAAGATCAGAGGCTTATATTTTTAGGGCCATATGCTGCTTTGGTTCCATGAACGGATACCCTGTGGATCTCAGTGGGAGGTAAAGCAGAGCTAGTTGCAGGATGGTGGTTTCTTCCTTTTTTTGCACAAGGAATTTTTCACTTGCTTTTTCCAGAGTGTAATCGGCATGTATTAAGGCCACTTGTTTGGCATAAATGTTTACTGACATGTTTGGCGAGACAATAGCAATTGTTTAATAGGCATTTCTTAGTTTACTTGCTAGCAGTAGATGTGCTAAAGATTCTCCCATAGGAGTGGCTTCCCCATCCCCCTGATGGGCAACTGTGTTCTATTTCCTGAATTAAAACACTCTTTCTCCTATTTTCAGAAGAGCGGGATGTTCCTTTCTCTGTCCTAGGAGCTCATTTCTTCCGCAAAACCTTTCCTTAGTCTGTTTAGCCCATCTGTCATGCCCTCTCATCTCCAAACCTTATCTGTCTTTTAGAGCACAGTTTAATCTCCTTTATGAAATCATTTCCCTGTAGCTCATAGCAAACTTCTCTCTTTTCTGAACTCCTGAGCTTATATTTTCCCCATAGAACTCATTTCCAAATTATGACAAGCACTGATGGTTTGTTCACCAACTGTTTTCTCTTTGTAGACACTACTCAGAATGCCCATGTGTATCTCAGTTCAGGCTAATAAGATGGTAGCAGTCTGCTGTAGGGTCTCTGGGAAGATTGGGAAGATGTATTTTTCTGATGTAGGTGACGGGCTGCCAGGTGTTGAGGTGGTCAATTAAGACAATGAGCCAAACTGAAAGTATCGGTCAAGTCTTTATTTATTTATTGCGACAGTGCAAGCAAGAGGCAAAAAGTGGCACTGGCTCCCTAGTGCTCCATTTTTTTTTCCTATGGAGCAACACCTGGCAAGGGTGAGATGCATGCAGTGCAGATGAGGGGAAATGTTTTATTGCTGAGGAGCCTGGAACAGAGGGCTCGTGCCTTTTCATGGTCTGGTAGAGGGGGAGGAGGAAGGCTAAGGAGTAGAAAAATACTGATTGAGCATGAAGAAAATGCCTTAGTCAAGCTCCCTGGTAATGAGGTCTTGGTGGAGGTGTCCAAAGTGCCTCAGCCAAGGCCTCTGATAAAGTGGCGTCTGAAGAGAAATGCTTGGGCTAGATGTATATATGCTGATATGTGTATGAGCATGGCTGGCTCAGATGGGTGGAGTGGAGGTGGGGTTCCTTGAATGCAACTCTCCAGAAATCTGCCGTGCAGTGGCTGTAACCAAGTCTGGTGTGGGGACAGCAGCTTTTCACTGTGACATCTGTCGGGCAAAGCCTTGCAATTGCCTATGTCTGAATGATCACACGCAGGCTTTTGGTCTAGAGATGGACTCTTCAATAAGTTCCACCTCTTTCCCTTTTTATTTTCTTGAAGCTGGAATGTGACCTTATGGTTGAAACTGTAGCAGCCAACCTGTGTCCATGAGGGAAATATCAAGGGAATTCAAAGGCTCTGGAGTTAACTAAACCAGAAACAACAACTGCATGCATCTGGACTTCCCATTATGTGGGGAAAAGTAAGTTTCTAATATTTAAGCCACCAAAGTAATGTTTTCTGCTCCTCGTAGCCTAAAATATTCCTAATTGATACATCATTTAATCATGCAGTGTTTTTAAATGTTATATAACTGATATTGATCTAAATGATTACATATTGTTTGAGGTACCTGAAAGGAACAATCTCAGCCATCCTCTGCTACCATAGTCCTATTTCCTTTTAATCTTATTGCAATTTAGAATTGGTGGTAAGTATACTTTGAAGCTGTCATTGTTTCTTTTTTGTAGATGAAAAACCATAGGATTCTCAGTTTATTTGTTAGTGCTCATAGAAGAGTGATGCTGACAAAACTCCTAGCATCAATTACCTGGAAATTGAAGACCTGAGTCTGGGTCCCAGTAACAGTTTCTGATTAAATAAAGCCCCAGGTAAAGGTCATTTGCCTTTGGAATATTCAGCACTGCTTACTATGATGGGCTTAGGTCTTGTTAATCCTATTGCCTAGAAGTCAACAAATGCCTGGGATCATGTATAGGATGATTCTAGTAAAAAAAGCTTTATGATGTCTCTAAATGATTCTATATAGATGTAGGCCAATTTCCTTTTTGATAAGTTGCTCCTCTAGGTTTCTCAGGGCAGTATTTTTCAGGAGTATCTGGGTCTTAGGCACAGCTCTTGTCTTATTGACCAGCATTACATAAGCTTCATCAGTTTGTGAATACATTTCTTAGGAACCTTGAATAAACTTTGATTTTATTGACCTTCTATCAGCCCTTGGCTTATGTACAGGAATGGGTTATGCTCTAGATACACAATCCTAGCTATTGATACTTACGTGAGACTTGTAAAACCACTGCCCATATTTCAGGTCATTAGAGTAAGTTTCTTGGTAGATTAGATAATTTTAAGGGAGACAAAATATAATGTTTCAAATTCTCCTCCTTCATGTGTTTCTTAATGACTTGATATTATTCCTGGATGAGCGAAATTCATGCTTCCCTGCTATAAGGAATAGATAGATAAGCATTTGCCTAAATGCTGATGATATAGTTTATTTTCTCAAATTTAGAGTAGCCTCCACAAACAATGGCCCTTCGATCTCATTATTTTACTTTAAATCAGTTACTTCAAAACCCAAGTCATCAGTTTTGGCAGAGGTCTTCAAACATTTAATTGGTCAAAATCTAAGAACCCTATATAGAAGGTCAGCTTGTTCACTTACCACTAGCTTGTCTGAAAGAGTTACTCAGTAAATAATATTGTTTGCAATTCAATATTACATGGGCATGTATTGAGATTATTAACATCTCCAGTTGCAGTTATTAGTGGCATATTTTATAGCACAGAATAATTCTGATAATGATGATAAAAGAGGTAAAACTGATTTAGTGTTTGCTTTGCAAGGCATTGTGCCAAGCAGTTATATGCATTTTCTCTTCTAATTCTTGCCATGGCCTGTTAAAGTAGGTAGAACTTTGGGGCCTGTTCTCATAAACTGTAGTCAACTCTGGGCTGTTTTCTGAGGATAACCTTCCTTTATCTGCAAATATTACCTTGGCCCAACTCCATGTCACAGTCAGTGGGCTTTTCTCTAGTCTCATGCCTGATTGGTAGGCTTCTTGATTATATAACAAAATCTTAAAGCTGTTCTTTTTTGGATGCACACTGAACACACGATACCGCCTTTAACCAGTAACGTAGAGTTAAGTGGGCTTGAATTCTCATCTGCAGTCCTTGCTGGAAGCTTGGCTGTGAGGAATATTGTTCATGAAAGATCACCTGAAGGGCGTGTGGGCTGTCTACTACACCCTGGTCATCTTCACTGTCCAATATATGGTAGCCACTAGCCTCATGTGGCTATTTAAATTTAAATAAATTAAAAATGAAATAAAATAAAAATTCAGCTCCTCAGTCAAAACACCCATATTTCAAGTGCTCAATAGCCACATGTGGCTAGAGGTTTTCATACTGGACAGCACAGATATAGAACATTATGGGCACTGCAGAAAGTTTTATTGGGCAGTGCTGTGATAAGAGTTTCACATTTGGACTGCATTTTCTTTAAAAAAATTATTATTTTCATGGAATTGTGCTTTGATGTGTTGACAGTGGCCTGCACTGTGGCCCATTCTAATAATAAGTATTGAGTGTTCTTATGTATCAGAAATGGTTTTAAACACTTTTTATGAATTAACTCAATTCTTATAACAATTTTGTGAAGTAGGCATTATCATCATCTCCATTTTACAGAGCTCAGAGAGTTAAGTGACTTGCCTATAGTCACCCAGATGGTAAAGAGTGGCGATGGAATTTGCGTCCTGTAAGTCTGGCTCAAACCTTTGTTCTTCACCACCACACCATGCTGCCTCTGAATTCCCTATAACGCTGTCTTGGATTTCATTCTCAGGATACGAGTAGTAACCTCATTACTTTTATCACATTATTTTTGTATTCCTGTTCCTCCTGGCTGTAGCTCTTCATTTATTTAATTTCTGTTATTATAATGTTGCAATGAAATTCTGATGCCAGCCACCTGGAGTTAGCACAAGCTCCTCAAGTTAAGGGCACAATTCCCTAAAAGATTACCCTCACTTCTAGTACCAGTCACAATTTCAGGAGTCCCCAGACCACTTGCACTGCTGACCAACTGGCTATAAATTTGGGGGTTGCTCTAACTCTCTTAGGTCTGATAATTTGCTAGAATGACTCAAAAATTCTGGAAAGCACTATACGTATGATTATAGTTTTATTAGAAAGACTGTCAATCAGAACCAGCCAAATAAAGAGACAATTAGGATGCGACCTGGAAGGGAAGAAGAATGCATCACCCTTCCCATTCGTCAATGTGTTCAGCAACTAGGAAGCATATCTGAGAGTTGTCCAGAGTTTTTACTGGGGTTTTATCACAGAGGCATGATTAATTGAATCATTGACCAGGTGATTGAACTTAATCTGTAGCACCCCCTCTCCTCCCTGGAGGTTGGGCTGGCTTAAAACCTCAACCCTCTAATCCCGTGGTTGGTCTTTCCGATGACTAACCCCCATCCTGATTTATCTCACTGATATAAATCAGGTATGATGCAAGGGACTCATGAATAACAAAGTCACCCCTATCACTCAGGAAATGCCAAGGATTTAGAGGTTATGTCCCAGGAACCAGTGACCAAGACCAGATAAATTCTTTATTATACAACGGTATGTATTTTTTCCTTTTTCTTGAAGTATAGTTGACTTACAATATTATATTACTTTCAGGTGTACAACATAGTGATTCAATATTTTTATACATTATGAAATGATCACCACTGTGAGTCTAGTTACCATCTGTCACCATACATACACCGCATTACAGTGTTATCGACTATATTCCCTATGCTGTGCATTACATCCCTGCGACTTATCTCTTTTATAACTGGAAGTTTGTACCTCTTAATCCCCTTCACCTTCCTTTATCTGCAAATACCCTTCCCCCTGCCCTCCTCCTGTCTGGAAACCAGGAGGAAACTAGTTTGTTCTCTGTATCTATGAATCTATTTCTGTTTTGTTACGATTGTTCATTTGTTCTGGAAATCTATAAAACTATGATTAATAGTCCTTTTGCACCTATATAAAAATATGTTTATACATGTCTACATAAATGTTTATGTTTTTACTTATACTCACACACACGTACATAAATACTTCATTTCAAAAAATATTTGAGACAGTCATGTATTTACTTAGGCTGACTGAAATCCATTTTGAAATGAGGTGGAAGATTTATGTGTGTGTGTGAGTATAAATAAAAACATAAACATTTTATGTAGACATGTATAAATAAACAGTTTTTAATTTAGAGGCAAAAGGACTAACCATAGTTTTATTAATTTCCAGATCTATAGATTTGCCTTAGAAATAGCTTCATTTTACACTCTTATTTTTCTGATGAAGAAGTAAGCCCAGAGAAGTGAAGTGGCTTGCTGGTTAGTGGCAGAGTAGGGACTGGAATTCAGGGTTTTTAATCTTAAATTTAATACTCTTCTTGTCTTCATAATCTCAAGCTTCTCCTTTACATTAGTCATATAATTATCACCTCGTACTTTTCTCACCATTTTGCCATGCCCAGAAACCTCAGGCTGCCCTCAGGATACAGCTTTGGCGCAATGGGTGAAGCTCTGCACAGACTCCATTTTTGTACTTTCTGCCTTTACATATGTGCTATTCCTTCTGCCTTAAGTGCCATTCTCACTCACTGGTCCTTTCTTAATTGTTTTTAAATGTACATGGTAAACCTCACTTCTCTGACCTTCTCTCCTCTCACAGAGTTAATCTTTCTCTTCCTTTTCACATTATTTAGCATATGCCTTTATCTCAGTGGCACTTATCACACTGTATTTTTAATTCTTTTTCCACATCTCAAACCTTAACAGAATTATTGACTTCACCCTTGTTGCCACTAAACCTATTACTCTCTTTGTCTTCCCAATCCCGATATAGCATCATCATCAGTGACCCAGCTGCTCCATCCAAAAATTTGGAAGTCACCTTGATTTCCCTCTTGTCATCATCTTGCACATCTAATTAACAGCAAGTCCTTTGGTGCTACAGCCTAAATATATCCCAAAGCTTTCACCTCTCACCTTTAAACTGGTCTATTTCCACTCTTGCCTTCTTTCAATACATTCTCCAAACTGGGGCCAGAGTTCTTTCAAAATGTAAAACACTTCATGTCACTTCTAGCTTAAACTCCTCCATTGGTTTATACTTTCAGTAAAATAAAATCCAAACTTCTATTGCGCCTGGAAGGGACCTACATGATGGAGCCCATTCCTCCTGCGTTTTTACCAGGCCCTCTCACTGGCTAGGTGCTGGATTCTCTAGATTTCTTTCTGTTTCTCAAACACACCAGGTTTGTTTCTTTCTCAAGGCTGCAGCAAGGTATGGCTTGTTTTGTGTACGTGACGGGAGGGAGGGAGATTTGGCAGCTTTTCCTCCCCCATATTTTCCATTAGCTTCCCTGAAAGCCACTCCAACAAGAGT